ATACACTGTAACCTCAATATAATGAACACCTTTATAATGAATTTCCTGATATAATGAACACATAGCGGGTCTTCCGCTCACAACAAACCCAATGTATTGTGTGTTTAATTATAGTGAACATTTCACTATAACAAACTAATTGTATGTCTCCCAAAGTGTTCGTTATAACGAGGCTACAGTGTACTCTTCAATTGGTGTCAATGACTACGAAAAAACCTAAATTAGACTCTAATTTAGGCATCAGAAAAGATTGAAATGTTCAAAAAATTACGCCAAAATTAAAGATTTTACGGTAACCACACAACTAGTGTACGAGTGTATACTTTATTATTGATTAGTTATGAGTGAGTGTTGTTTTGAATGAGGTATTGTGTTTTACATTCCAGTGCGTTTTGAACCATGTGAATATTTTCTCATTCTATAGTAAATGCAAGTACTAAATGACATAGCATAACTATTACAACCTTGTCTGCTGAGAACCTAGACTAAAATAACAAATATAAGGATGGATAACAAACTAACAATGCAACATCTCTTTTTTTGCAAGGTCATAAAGATAATAAAAGCAATAGAAAAAAAAAGAGTTGATGTGGGATTACAATGGGCAATCACCTTTACCGAATGGTTGGGTCTGTCAACTTTGATGACAGCAGAGCTAAAAAAAAAATTGGTCACAGACATATCTGTAATGTAATGGCAGTTTCAATATTATGCCCTAGCTTTATACATGGGTAATAGAACTCCTGCGTGTCTACCCCAAACACGCAGACATTTGTGAAAGTGTATTGAACAACAAGAAATGACAATCACTTACTTTGTCTTAACTCCTATCAATCTATTGTCAAATTCCACATTGGCTGAGTAAATACTAAAATCATGAGGTTTCTCATAAAAATTTGGCATCTGCAAAAAAAGAACAAAATCTCGAGCACACATTAGTTCCATGTATATAATAGAGTTTCACAATATTATTTCGCTACATTGTTTAGGAGGAATATTTGACTGCACCATTCGCTTTATTTTGTATATGAAAAAACTTAAAAATAATATTATATAATAAATACATGGAGTAGTCCTAGGAATTACTTATAAGAAGCAATCATTGGAGTTCAATATAAGGTGCATGAATGAACTAACAAGAAGCTCTAGCTTGAAGTAGAATAGCAGTCAGTTTACCCCAAAAATAGTTATTTGATTTCTTCGAAAATGGTAAAATGAAATTAGAAATGGCATCTCAAGTCAAATTTTTACTAGACATGACCCTAATGTTTCCACATACATGAATAATAGAGACGAAATGCATGATAATTCAAAACATTACCTCATCACTTAATTTATGATGTAGAATAGCCAGTTGTTCTTTTGACGGTCTGCCATTATTATTCTCATCTGGATCTGGCTGCTCATGGTACTTCACCTTGGTTGCATCCATGGATACCATACCCTGGCTACTGTTGTTAAACGTCAAGTAATTGTCAAATGGACAGTCTATCATGGTAACAGGATGGTTTTCCCAGCTTATTATGCTATTGTCCTGACTGGGAAACGTTGGGTGATGTCGGATGATGATATCATCTGGAGATTCATTCCAGACTTTTCCTACACTGTGCACAATGTCTTGCACATGGAGCCACTCTATTAAGTCTGTGAGTTTCTTAGCGGCATTTTTCAATTCCACTGATGGCATGAAGGAAATCAGTGACTGCTGCCTGTTGGCTTGAAACACTATAGGTAAACTGGTCTTTCGGCTCAGAGAGCTTACTTCGTTTTTGTGTTGTAGATAAAGTACTGGTAACAGCCCCAGATTGTCTTTACTCCTGAGTTTCAGCTGGTTTTCTGACTGACTACTATGATGTTGATATAATGCAAACTTGTGTGTTTTCACTGATTCAACAGCATTGCTCTTTTCACATGTGTATTTGGAGATGGACTGATGTAAATGACAATATCTTGAATTCCGCTCTTTGTAATGTGGAATCTAAAGAAATTATGAGGAGTTGGAAACTTATTATCAAGACATTTTTAATATTAACCTTTGTCCTGCCAGCCCCATGTACTTTTAAATTGACTTGACCAGATAAGGATTAATGATCAGTACAATTAATAGTTTTTTTGTCAATTTGTTGAATTAGATCATCATGATAAAAATGTACCGGTTATTTGTGTACAAAAATATTTCCAGATAGTTTAATTAAAGAGTTTGTACAACAGAACACTCAACACCACCACTAGACTGGCCCAGCTGTGGTGATTTTTTTTTAGTTAAATTATATAAAATAACAAACTTGGAAAAAAATTAAATAGTTTTGCGAAATGTGGGGTGAACGCAAAACCACCACATGATTTTGCTGTTACAGGGGATTTTGCGTTAACACCTCCGCTTCACAATATTTGAGTTTAATTTAAATTTTAAAAAGAAATAAATCGCCCAGACTGTGCCAGTCTGCACTACCACCAATAACAACAACAAAATACGTGTCATCACGTGACCTTAACTTGTTGACCCACAAAGGTCAAAGAGCAAAACCTTGTGCCATATAAATAATAATAAGTTCATGTGAATTGGGTCAACGATATAAACACCACTGAATACTACTTGTTGAGAGATAAACATGTTTCCACACACAATGCAATAATTGAAGCCGCATATTATTTGCTTATTGGTACAAAAATGCAACGACGTTAATTACAGAAAAACACCGACCGACACTGATTCTGAACAACCACACTGATCTACACAACTTACCCGCCGCTCGTCTGTGCTGCCATGCACAAATTTGCCTTGGAATTTAGGCACCAAATGAAATCTTCTACTTGCCACGCTGTAAACGGCAAGGATTGGCAAAGCTCCGGAAAGCTTGACGCCTCGTAAATCCAGTATATATGCCCACATGTTCGTGACAATGTCACATTCTTTCACGAAAACATGAAGGATCTATGTTTGGGATAGTGAATGTTAATTCTTTACTCCACCACAGATGAGACTGACTAAGTTACTGATTATTTTTTACTTTAATACAAGTAGAAATAACCATTGACGTTAATAAATTTTTGTCATATTATTTACTGTACATATGAAATCCTATAGAAAATACATAATAATATAAACAAATTATATCAGTTATTTAATAATTTAACTATAGTGATATTAATACTTTAGAATTTTAATTAAGCTAGAGGGTCAGTATAGTTGACAGTAAGGAGCCATATTGTAATGTAAGCTACACGTGTGGTCGGATGTTTTCATTGGTAAACTACAGATTGTCTTTTGTTAGAATTTATCAAAAGTGACCATTTGACATCTGGGAGAATTTGACAAATTTCTTACCAGCCTTAGGACTAGTAAGATTGAGATTTCAATTTGTTACTGGTTCCTGTTTTCGCTCGACCATGTCTGGTCTGGAAGAAGTTGGTATCGCCGGTGGTGATTACTTGCGGGAGGCATTGACGAACTGTACTGACCCTCTCGCTGCTATCGAAGAATTCCAAGTCGAAAATGGCATACTGTTACCAACTTTGCAACCTGCCTTGCCGCTTCTCGATCTACATGAAATTCACCGATACGAGTTTCACCAGTCGGTTTTGGAGCAACTCCGCGACAAGCTCCTTGAACGAATTAATGAGCTGTCTAAGCAGGAAGAGAAAAATAGTATGGCTAAAATTGAAGAGTTATTAGAGAAAAGTTTCCCTTTGATTCGCATCGCTGCTGTTCGTCCAGTTGTCATGACCTTAATGAAATATATGCCGGAAGTGCCTGAGAAATATCTGCAAGTTTTAGTGGAAGATAGAGAGCTGTATGAAGAGGCTGCAGTGGAAGTTAAACGTCAGATTTGGCAGGACAATCAGTCGCTGTTCGGAGATGAAGTATCCCCTTTGCTTTCAGAATACATCAAACTGAAAGAAAAACAGTTATTTGGTGTAGAGGCCGGTGTCCAATATTTTTATGCCTCCCCGCCTAAACTTAGACGACAAGGTAGTGTTGTTGTAAAACTCACTGAAATGGTCGGTAAAAACATCAAGCTGTATGATATGGTTCTTCAGTTTTTGAGGACGTTATTTCTAAGAACTAGAAATATTCATTACTGCACTCTTCGAGCAGAACTGTTGATGTCGCTGCACGACCTTGAAGTTCATGAAATTTGCTCGATTGATCCTTGTCATAAGTTTACTTGGTGCCTTGACGCATGCATCAGGGAACGATTTGTGGACGAAAAAAGATCAAGAGAACTGCAGGGGTTCTTGAATGGGGTCAAGAAAGGTCAGGAGCAGGTTTTAGGGTAAATATTGTTTTGTTTAGTACAAAGGTACCATCCATCAATTGTGATGGAGCCTAATTTTCATATGCAAATACAATGCAATACATGGAAAGATGATTTAGAATATATTCAGTTACTGTAAAATGCTTTATTTTCGCTTAGAATTATTTTTTGCTATTTTTGCTGAAGGAATGATTCAGTGAAAATAAAATCCAGCTAAAATAAAGTACTGTGGAATACTTTATTTTCGCTGGATTCAATTTTCGCTGAAAAGGCTTTTTGGGCGTTTTGCTTGGAATTTATTTTCACTGATTTTTGATGAGTTTAATGTGAAATATAGAAAAAAAAGTATATTTGCTGGATTTTATTTTCACGGAATCTTCCCTTCAGCGAAAATAGCGAAAATAAATTCCAAGCGAAAATAAAGTATTCTACAGTATTTGACAGTACTTGAAGGTTGAAAAATTGAAGTACATGTAACTTGATCTGTACTATTATTTATTTTGTTCCAATCTTTTATTGCTACACAACACAAAAATAACACAAATCGTCGAACACGACTACCATGAAATCAGAGCAACTTCTATTTGGACAATCTATTTCTCACCTTTGAAATATGAAAATAAAAATGCCTGTTGATATTAATAACAGTTTTTTATAATCACTGAAATTATTTCATTCAAAGGTAAGAATACAAATAACAAGTTTTCCCACAGGGAGTTGGAATACATGCATCTTGTGTTAATTGAAAAAAAAAATTGAAAATATGTATAAACATTGACTAAATTGGAAACTAGAGCTCAGAATTCTTAATTGTCCACATTGCATGAGTTTTCTAAGGCTTTATCAAAGCAAAGTCATGAGATGACATCTAGAATCAAGATGCTGATGCATTTTGAATCCTAATAATTGACTTGGCAATAGGTGTAATAATATGCTAATGACGTTGACATGGCTTGAAAAACACCGGCACTGATGTCTTGCGCTGACACTTTAACAGCTAATAAAATACATGAATCAACGAATCATTTGATATTTTCTTTCAAATCTACCGCAGAAAAATACAATAGAATTTTTTGGGAGCCATTCAGTTACCGGTGACGTAGCCATTGTAGCACTAGCATGCAGAAATAAACAGGAAATGCCTTTGCATGATTGAGAGGCATTCTGTAAAATACTTTATTTTTGCTTGGAATTTATTTTTTACTATTTTCACTGTAGGGATGATTCAGTGAAAATAAAATGTAGCGAATATTTTACATTCGTCTCATCAAAATTCAGTGAAAATAAATTCTATACAAATCACTCAAAAAGTTATTTCAGCAAAATTTAATTCCAGCTAAAATAAAGAATTTTACAGTACTCGAACTGCATAGCTGTTGTAATCTGAGAGAAGTGGATCACATGTTATATTTTATAGGGTTAGTTTTATTGTTAACAAAAAATAAAAAAACTAGATGCAGGGTCGAAGTGACTTGAGAAATTTGCTTTACTGACCACCAGACATCATAAATATGACAATATTCAAGTCACGATCATCATCATCATCATCATCATCAATAATGCCACGATCATCTCATCAACATTTAAATACGTTTTGAACGAGCCAAAACACTCATTCTCATTTTCAACTATTAAGATAGGCTATACAATAACATGCATTTCATTTCATGATATGTTCATAGAGTAGTGATTTGATGAAATGGTTTCAACCCTTGGGTGAGGTGATTCATGGAATGCGTAGAGTGGAAAACCCGGAATGTGTGAAAACTATGGAAACGTGGAAAGTAAAAATACTCGCTCTCGCTTGTTTTTTTATGTAAGACTTTGAATATATATATATATATATATATATATATTGAAACTGAAAAACACATGAATTTATTAACATTCGTTTCTAATATATGACAGTATTTTTTAATTTCCATAGTTTTCAGATACCGGGTTTTCCACTCTACACATGGAATGTAATCAAGGGTTATAGCTAACATGAAGTTAACAATGAGCTGGGATTAGCTGGGGAGGGGGTACATGTTTATTTTTTATTTTTTTTTTATCAAAATTTCACTTGCATTATTCCAACTCTCTGTGGTTTTCCCTATTTTGGCCAATTTCAGTTACATTACATATGGGTTCTTGCATGGGGAACTGTGGGGAACATGTCCACTTACGGTATGGTATTGTAAAAAGACGTGCACATGTTTTTTTCAGTGATCTGTCCATGATTCTGTGTGATCCCTTTGCAATCCACACACTGGCGACCAGTTCAATCAAGATTCTGAACCAACTTGCCAGTACTGAGTCCTTACCCAGAGTGAGTAATAATTTCTATGTTTCATATCTATAATGCAAAAAAAGAAATGTCATATTTCTTCTACTGAGATGGTAAATCGTTTTACTATTATATACAGGGGTTTTTCTAGAACAAAATTGCAAGAGGGAGCACTGCAATTCAGAGGCGCCACCAAGTGGGGGAGCTTGTTATGCCTGTCTTCGGGCCAAAATTACTATCAGACAGGTCACAGTGGAAATCCTGTGGCCACATGTGATCTCTGGTCAATCAGAATTTTATGGTTGCCCGAGGATCTGCTCTCCAGGGTAAGAGGACGCATGGCCATGGCATGAGGGTGCTACGTCCCTGTTCCCTTCTTTAAAAAAATCCCTGCAAAATCAGATTAATTGATTAATTAATTATTCAGATTAATTTAAGAAGTGTAAATTTTATATTTTATGTTCACAAATTTGATATTCTGTTTATCCTGTATATTTGCTTAGTCGTCAATTTTAAAATGCATATACTAACTCCAGAAATGTAATCTGCTCAGGCATATTCAAGACTTTGTAGTTGGTTTGTATTTCATGAACACCAGTCAGCTTCAGTAATTACTGGCTAAATTTGTGGATGTCGAGACTTCATTGTATAAAAATGTTTTCCATTCATTACCATGTTTATGAGTTTATTTTTTATAACATTTTTGAATTTCAAAATTGTCATAAGGAATTTATTTGTTGCTATCTGTTAGTGCTTAGTTTTGGGATATACTGTATAATGATATAGTTATATTTTTTCATACACAGGATAGTTCCGAATTAATACTACTGCTAAGAATGTTGACACTAGGACTTGGAGCTTGGACTATGATCAACTCACAAACCTTTAGAGAGTCTAAACTAGTAAGTATTCATTGTTATACACATAAT